AAATTTGATTATGATCTAGTTTTGAGAGACGTTTCTTCAAAAGAAAGTTTTGGAAAACACGACTTATTCCGATTTTTGACGTTTTAATGACGTTTTAAAACGTCACCCGTCCCCAAAGGGTTAACGAGATGTTGAAAATATTGCTTACACTCGTTCATTTTATTTCGTGTCATCCAAAATACTTTATCTTTATATTTCAATATCATATTCTTACTTCGTACTTTTATTTTTTTGTTTTTACGGTGCAAATGTTAAGACAGAAGGAATATATATTATAAACTTTATTATTTATTTATTTATATGCTAGCCGACTTAAAGTCATATTCACAACTGTGTATCTGTTTTGTCGAATGAGAATAACAAACATCGTACTAAATAAAATCATGAAGGTTCTTAATGTTGCCGAGAAAAATGATGCTGCAAAATCATTGGCAAGAGTACTTTCCAAAAGCAATGCATCTGTGGTAAGAGAAAAAATGACCTTTTTTTTTTTATACAAAAAAAAACTTCGAAAATTTTAGCGATCAAAGCTGTATGAAAAATACAACTTATTAGAGAGATAGAATACTTATATTCAATTACTTTGAAGAGAGTATATTGATTAAATATCTTTTATGATATATCTTGACAGTTATTATTTGAATTTATTTCTTTTTTTGTAGCGAGATGGATTTTCAAAATATAACAAACTATACGAGTTTAAATATAGATTATTTGATCAAGAGTGTCACATGGTTTTCACATCGGTTGCTGGACACATTATGAATTATGATTTTACAGATCAACATCGTCAATGGTAAATTAAATTAGAAGAAAATAGTTCAATCTCTATTTAAATATGTCTTTGAATTTAAGGTATACATGTGATCCGGTCGATTTATTTCGTGCACCTATTCAAAAAACTTGTAAAAATCCAGATATTGAGGTAAATATCAATATGATTACAAAGAAATACATCTGTTTTGTAAATTAGTGTTTTATATTTACGATCATAATTCTTTGTTGAAACCTAGAATAGGACTGTAAAAGTTGCCGTTGCGTTGATTTAACGCTAACTGTCTTTTCAGTTACGTTGAAATAACGGTAACTATCAGTTAGTTAACTTTGTGGTAACTATTTCTTAATTATGGCAGAAATATCCAGGCAGCGGCTTAAAATGGCTTCCAGAATCGTTAGTTTTCCACTAAAACTGTTGAAACTTTCATAAATGACATGATTTTGATTGGCACACACGTGCCAGTCGACCAAACTAATCGAAATTATAT